ATCAATAACATTATGTTCATGTCAATAGATTAATAATTTATTTTCATTGGTATAATTATATTTTATCCTGTAATACTATTTATACATGTTAATTACAATAATTTTGTTGACAATTTCGATTAATTACATATTATCATGATGCATTAATTTTTGTACTCTTTTCATAAAATCATCTTTCTGATTAACTTATGTCTTAACTATAAATGCTAAATAGACAATTTTTTCATGTTTGATCGGGAGATAATATTTTTGTCTTTTGATATTCTAAGAAGAATACACATCATCTAGTAAGATTAATGTCATAAACCACGTTTCCTGTCCGAAGTTTTCATTTGGATTTTATTTAAAAATAGATTTTCGGGTGGAAACATTCTCCCACCGCAGAGGACAGTGCACTGCACACGCCGTCTCAACCGAAACGCTATATTCGCAGTCTGAACGTGTGATTGCTACAGCCTAGACGTATTGGGAAACTCGCATTTTCTTTTGATCTTAATTTTTTAATTTATCTGCAAGTTCGTCTCATTTTGAACGTTTTCGTTTAATTTCTTACTTCGATTTAAAAATTATAATTCGAAAACTCCATTAACATGGCAGACGTAGAATATCAATTTACAACCACCGAAAGAAAAGTCAGGAAAAGCAAAAAAACTACTTCATCAAATAAGAGGAGAGAGAGCAATGATCAGGGCGAAGTTACCATCACAGAATTGGATAAAGAAAACGTGTATCCATCAGAAAATGGTCACGATGACAAGAGGTATTTTCCGAGGCCCCCTAATCTAATTAAAAAAAAAAAAAAAAAAAAACAATAATAACTTAAAATCATCTTAACTTATGGTTTAATCCATTTATTTCAAAAAATATAACTTAATAAATGTATGCTTTTATTACATTTTCGTAAACCTGTTGAATGGTTATTTTTTTTTTATTGCATTCATTTTAACACTGTTCTTTTAAGTATGAACGGAAAATACCTCTTGTTTGACAAATATACTATTGGTAAGAAAATGTATTATATTATTGTTATTATAACATTATAGTTCGTTATATAAACGTATAATTTATAAAAATTTTAAATTAATAAATAATTCAGCTTAATAACGTAATGACAAAGGAACTTAATCGTAGTTTTTAAAAATGTAAATTTTTCACCGGTTATAATACATTTTATAATTACGGCTAAATGGTAATATTTTTGCGAAAAAATTCTGAATAAAAGTTGTCATGTATATTGTGACGAAAGATAATACATCGAGTAAATAAAGGTGCAATTAATAATAATTAATTTATGTATTAGTGCTAAACTAAACACGTTACATAGCAAATAATATCTTTATGACAAATTATGGATTGTAATATAATTATGTCAGTAATATAAATTAATGATTAATTGTATTAAATAATATAACTATTTTTTCCATAAATCTATGACTTACACACTACTCTTGTTGCTAAAAATGTTTTCTTTGAAACCAGTTTAATTATGTACAATAATGAAACATGCATATTAAAATCAATTGCATATATGTTTGATAAAAAAAATGATTTCTGCTAACTTATTATATTTATTTTGTATGCAACTGATTTAAAAGCGTTTGTTGGAAAATTTTTAAATTAAATATCCACCTAAAGTTACGCCACAATATACATACGTAGTCTTTTCCAAATATCATGTATAACTGTACTATACTCGAAGTTTTTTTACAGCAGAAACTAATTATTTATCATATACATATAAACAAAAATATGAAAATCATTTATTACATATTTATTAAAAAAATGTTTGTTTTTTAAACAAAAAATAATTTTTATTATTTCAAATTTTTGTGATAAATGATACATTATATAATTATTGTTTAATTAAACAAGGTCGATCTACTTAATAGATATTTATTCATTTTTAAAGTGTATAAAAATAATTTCTAGCTTACATTTTTCATTGACATTTAAATTTAAACATGATTATTTATTTTCTAGGTTGGAAATTAGTATTAATAAGATTAATCTACTAGGTCAGGACTATCTTTGTAATAAATTAGCATGTGACAACCATTTCAATATTAGTAATTTAATTTAGAAAAGGAGTAGTATACAATTAATATAATTATCATTGAAATGTGGTAGCCGTAAATTTTTTATGTTAAGTTGTAAACACGCTCAGATTTACAAATGACTTTAAACGACACAAACAATATTATTATCGGTTACTTTTTATGGGAACTTCTATTCCGTTAATTATAGCCACATATCTGGTTATCTATCTGGTAATGAATAAAATGTAATCTGTGCAGTCATGAAAATATAATAATCGATTTTTTTGTGAAAAAATTAAATATTGAGTAATCAAGTATTAAGATTTTTCAACAACCATATTAATCATATTTTATATTTTCGAGTTCGATGTCTGTATATATATATCAAACTATTATTAAAGGGTTATTCACTCCTGTAAAAGGCGTTAGAAAAGCCGGTGGAAAGTAAATACATTTTTTTCACATTTTTCTCTTCATTTATTATACGCTCTCTGTTTAAATATAAAATGGTTTCGGTCCATAAATTTCATATTCGAAATAGACCGTGATGCATTAAACAGTGCATAGTAATTAGCTATTAATATTCCGCATGATCGTAAAAATAAAATAAAAATGCATAACACAATGCGACAGAATTTTTGGTTTAGAAGAATTAAAATCAGAACAACGTCTGACTTGTATAAAAAATATTCTATATTTGTAGCCATTCCTGTTTATTTTTTAAAAATATTTTTATACTAGCTACATATTAAAACTAGTTGCTGACATATATCTGTAAAGGTCATATAAACGTGGTTAAATACTAATTGACAATACAATGTCTTTTCCAGTAATAACTTTTCTGAATTTATTTTTCTTTGCATAAACTCCATTTAAAAATTTTAAATAATATTAATGCTTCATCTAATCTAAAAATAGCATTCATTTACTTGTAATGTTGTACTAAAATTATTATAAATACATTTTTTTTTTTTTTATCCTAAAGATCAATGAGTCTGTAGTAAGTAGTTTTTTAGGTTCCGAATGTAACGAAGTATGAATGACCTATACGAGAATGTGTGATTTTTATTTTCAAAAAACATTTTTGTGGTAGTAAAAAAGATTAAAATGTTTTATGTTATCCCTTTATAAAATAAAAATTATACTCAAATATGATACAAGTAAAGTAATTTTTAAAAAAATTCAAATATTTTCAAGATAAATATTTAAAATATCGTATTATTAGACAATAGATTGGTTATTTGTTAAGTTAAAAGATATTTAGTATAGATTTTTGAATTAAACTTAAATATTTTATCAATTTATAATCAGTGTGTTATAATATTTGAATTCATTTTGCCTTTTTTATTAAATACTAAATTATTCTACTTATTTACAATAAAAATTAATAGATTTTATACATATAGCATTATTCCAAGGTTTATTATCTTTCTAAACTAAAAAGAGAAACGTAATCAATATGTTAATTATTTCCTATTGTGTCTTATGATATTATTTTTGATATTACAGACATAAAAATCTGCAATTAATTTAACTTTCACTAACAGTTTTGTATTACTAAATTTAAATTTAAATTTATTTTAGACAGTTAAGGTAACATTAGTGTAGGTTTGAATTAACTTAATAATTCAATAATATTTTTAGTTAAAATAGTAAATAAAATACTAATGTTAAATTGATTTTATAGAATTCTTTGAAATTAATGATGTTGGTTTATTATTTATAAATAATAAGTTTTACATGTGCATTTATACACGTTAATTCGACACCAGATGTGAACGGTAACTTCATAACATTGAAAAAATAACAATATCGATTCATTATATAGATTTATTTTTTAACTCGTAAAATGCCATCTAACCAATATCAATAATATTAATTTAGGTGGAATATATTTTCATAGCTTCAGTAGATTGATGAAAAATTATTTTCATTAATATTATGTCGATCAAATAAAATAATGTGGGAATGTATGAAGTCCATAATATCCAAACTAATGTTAGAGAACACTTTTTTTTTTAATTGAGTCACTAAGAGTGGTAAGAATGTTTCTAGATGTAGGTTTATGATATCTATCATATTTAGCTTATGACAACATAGGTTATTTTGACGATTTATACGAAAATAAAAATTGATTCTTTGAACTCCACGACCTCGATGGTCGCATTTGAATTTAAAGGTCATACGGCACGACCAATGTACGAGTAATTCTACCATCGCGTGAAAAGACAATATTTTATGCGGGCGTGGTGCCTATAGGTACCTATTTGTTGGCTTGATTATTTTTTTAGTAAATTGAACAACTCTTGACATTTTCTAAAAAGCTCTAAAAAGAAAATTGAAAGTGCGACGAATTCATTAACTTCATTTCAAAGTTACCGAAAATATTAGGTGAAACCGACAAAACCAATAAATAGAACAACATAATACCCCCTTGTCAGGGTTACACATTGCTTTAAAAAGTCTACAGACCTTAGAGTCCAATTATAATTTTTATTAAAAATAAACATGATGGATGTTTAGTAATTTGGTAAGGCTCGAACAATTATTCTTGGAATAATATTTTAAATGCTTCGACAAATTCCATTACATTTAATCCTCAAAACAGTATTATTAATCATACACACATTATTTAGGTTTACTAAACATCAGTAATTCATTAAATAATAAACAAGCGATTAATATCCATGTTAAGCATTTTGCATATACCTACTAGATTATTGAATCAAATATATTTTATAATATTGTTTATTTAAAAAAAAAATATATCTTTTGAAACCAATGATTTATATAAAATATTATACTTTTATATGATTATTAATTTATTGTGGTATTTATTGTGATGAAAAAAAAAATAATTTGTATAGTTGAATCGATTAATCATATTTAAACAAAGTTTAAAAATCCACTTACTCGATAATAAATTGTTTTTAGTAAATTATATATTTTGATTTTTTTTTCTAGTTAATTTTCAGTGGAGAATATACTAAGGCTATGAACAAGGACTGGCATTCCGGTCATTTCTGTTGCTGGCAATGTGATGAATCGTTAACAGGACAGAGATATGTGCTCAGAGATGATCATCCATATTGTATCAAATGCTACGAATCTGTATTCGCTAACCCGTGCGACGAATGCGACAAGACCATCGGGATCGACTCTAAAGTACGTCCGTTGACCGTTTTGATTTATAAGTCGAGTTATTAACCCCATAACATAACCTGTAACAATATTATATATTACGATTTTTTCTTAGGATTTGTCATACAAGGACAAACATTGGCACGAAGCTTGTTTTTTGTGCAGCAAATGTCGCGTCTCATTGGTGGACAAACAATTTGGATCAAAAGTAGAAAAAATCTATTGCGGAAACTGCTACGACACTCAATTTGCTGCTAGATGCGATGGCTGTGGAGATATATTCCGTGCAGGCAATTTATGATATTAAATTCCATTACAAATAATCGCGTTGGTACCTGGTTATACACGTAAAAGCGGATCAGTTAATTGTATTTAACATTTTAATCGGCGCACAATATTGATAGTAATAATAATAATAGTAAAAGTAAACTGAAAAAAAGAATACGGGATTAACTGAGTCTTTGGTTTAAAATCATTAGCAAATTATGTATAATATTTTTGTTGCCACATTTTTCATTTCAATTATTTAGTCACCATTCAAGCTGTTTTTGCCCATAGGGTGGTTGGTTATGATGTTTAGGTGTATTTTATAGTATCAATTATAATTATTCACTACGATTTATTGGCGTATAGTTTAATGAAAACGCATACCCGCAAGATATTTTCATAAAACCGTGTTTCTCATAGTATTTTATATTATATAGTACGATAGGACATGATTCATTAAACATCTAATTCCACTCATCTTGTCACTTTAATAATTTAATTCTTAAACAACACAAAATATATTGATCGGGTTGGTCAATAATCCATTAATTCATTAAATATGTTTTCCAAAATACGGTTGTCTATTTTTCGTAGAATTTGTGTAATTCAAGCTTTCTTATACTAAGTATAGAATGCCTTATAGGACCTTACGTATATTGCCCGCTGTGTTCGTCTATCGCGATTTCCGTTATCATACTTACTAATATTATGTGTTGTAAATTGTTGTTATCTTTTATTTTTATAAACATATCAGTTGATGTATTTTACTCTTATTATTTATCAGTAATCTCTTATATTATATCATTATGTTGTGTTGTTTTATTGATGTCAATTGGCATTAATTATTATTTCGTTATTGCATATAATAAAACACATATATTGATGTATATTATAAAAAATCTAGTGTGGTAATCATCCGTGGCTCAGATGTGTTAACAGTTTTAGAGACATATCCACTTAGACATGTGTCTCGTTGAATTAGATTATTTATGCAAATTATTCACGGTAATATGCTAATGGCTCGATATCGTGATTTTGATTATTATTTGATAGACTCTTAAATTGTATCATGTTAAAACTTAATATGTTCTACAGTGCGCGTGTATTTTTAATGGACTCGTTTTTTTTTTTTTTTATTAGTCTATTACACGTTTTAAACAATTTAAATAGTGTTCAGTATATAGATATACATTTCAAAATTTTCTATTCGTACATCGAATTTGTATTTATATTGTACCACTATCAGGACTTCATACAATACTCTCGTAGACCGATTTAAATTCAAATTTATTATGTGCTCTCTTTTTTGACGTCATCCTACACGGTGGTGATGCGCCAACAGAGATTCGTGAAACTATCAGCAACAATTTGTTTAAAGAAAACATGCACGTGGGAGCTGCGTTTGTCGACGTTCTTCGATTCGCGTGTGTTGTGCGAGAGTGAAAAAATACACGTCGACACACGGCACTGTGCGTTGATTAAAAAACACCATTCTTATATTGTATATGCACTGTAATGGTGCAGGTGACATCATCGTCCAATATTGCTGCATCATTAACGTTTTATGTATTTTCTTCTCGATAAGTCGCGTGCATTCAAGGTCAAAATGATAAGTCCACACGGTTTGACGTCCGTTGTAGGTACATAATATTTATTATATGTATGTTTTTGTTGTGATCACGGGTAACATTCCGGCACATTGTACTTAAGACGACTTGATTATTCCAGTGTAAGATACTGTTTTCGTTAATCCAACGGATAATATAAAGTTCCACAACATAAGCATTTAATTTCGGGATAATGACATATATAGAAAAAATGGACATGATATATTGTAATAAATGTATAGGTTGCTATTAAAAGCACATCAATATCTTATTTTGTATGCATCCCACAACACTGATTAGTTGTTCTACTTCTCATTCATTTGTCATGCATAGATACATATTATTAAACTCGATTATAATATTTATTTTATTATCTCTAACCAATGGCAACACTATACATAAATTAAAAAAACATTCGATATTTGTGAATCGAAATTCATGTGTGAGCTATTCTATAACTATAAGGGTTGAAAAAAGTAGTTACACAGCCTTCCTGAGTTCTAAGGAATATATTTTTATAACTTTAATTGAAAACTTGTAGTTTTTGAGGCTATAGAAAAATAAGAAAGAAAGAAAGAAAGAAAGATAGGTAAATTTTTATAAAATATGTGGATTATATTGACCACTCATGTGGTCATATATTAAACTTTTATAAATTCTTCGTTATTCAATTTTTTACAAACTCGACTGGCATTACCTCGAAAATTTCCTCATCTTCATGTTTAGCGATGGGCGTTTAACTTTTAAGTATTAACCTAGGTGCCACAATGTTGATTTTGCGTAGTGGAATTTTACTACAATGCTCGTTGGATAAAATGAGGCAGTAAATTATACGGGTATCACGTCCTACAGGTCGACATATTGTTATAATATACTATGATGGATAATAACTAATTTCTGGTCATATTGTAGAACCGCCTCTAATAATGTCGACTACGGTTCCTGGTTCCGACGTATACGAATTTTTATCTTTATGGGTTTTTGATCACTACCTCTCTCCACCTCGCAACTGAAAACGATATCTGATGATGACAATATCAATATTATAATACACCATAATAATAATATCATTATCTTCGTGCAATGGTTGGAGGTGTACCTATATCAATATAATAGTATACTTACACCGTGGGCAGGTCGGAAAGGTCACCCGGTGTCCTGGCGGCGGTGGGGCGCGCGCACTCGAGGGAGGGGGAGAAATAGGTACACCAAGTATATTCGTCCGGACACGGTGCCCGTCATCGTTTGTCACGCGCTTTTGGTTCAGTACCAGTGCAAACATGTCCGTGGACGTAATGACCAGCAAATTTGGTAACATCACGCTGAAGACCAGCACGCCCAAAAAGGATCCGGGCGACGACGATGTGGCCATTCTGTCGTCATTTCTACCGGAATACTTGATGAGCCCCGCATCCATAACGAAAAACAAGGCTTTTGAATGTTCGTTAAAACGGGACTGCAGACTGGGAGATCCCAAAGCCACCCCTCCAGGTAGAACCACTGTATAAATATCTACTCGTTCGATAATTAACCCGTTAGCAGCCGTCACTCTATCATAAATAGTCATATAAAAACTGATTTTGTTAACCTTTGGTATGACGACTACCAGTCATCTTTTTTTTTTTAAACAAAATTATTATTATTATTATTTTATTATTGTCTTTAATTTTTTTGACATCATTTATTTTTACTAAATCGATATGCAGTTTGAGAAATCTGCAGCGTGTTAAATAATATATAATAGGATCATCAAAATGCAGTTTTTAATCCTTGCTACGAATTTTTTAATTTTTTTTTGTTTTTTTGCTTGACCATCAATTTTGTACTATATAATGCATGATTAATAAATTAACTCTTTCCGATGACTAATATTACACTCTAAAATGAAATTTATTTTTTTATCTCATTATAATATGACGTATGGAAATCACCATATATGGTGGTTATAATAATCTTAGCCATCTGTTTTCTGTACATGATTGGATACCTATTAACATTTCACAGTATACGTATATAATAGAATTTATACTATGTAAATTTTTCTTTAAATTTACGATTCTCTTCACTAAAATAAATCTTTTTACGTTTACTGGTAATTTTTACAAGATGTCCAAACTTAATTATGTATTTTTTTTAAATTAACAAAATCAACTAAGTTTTGTGTACGTGCATTAAAATAAATAGAAATTATGTAGTAATTTACTATGAATTTTATAGAATAGTAAAGAGACAGGGGTAACTCATTAATATGATACGTACCAAGTTAACTTATCAACACTTTAAATTCAAGTAATTAAAAATAATTTTATTTATATTTATTTTGATATGTATAAAAAAATTTAAAAATAAAATTCTGCATCAGATTATAAAATCAACATAATTAGTTTCTATTTCAAAAATTTTTAATATCGCATTTTAGAAAACCATAGCTCTAGTTCTAACTATTTTATTTTACAATTTTGTTTAAAGTTGTATCATATATTATCATATTCAGTACCATTGAGTACTAACTTAAAATTAAGTTTTTTATGGTTATGTTTATGTATAGATAGTTTCATAATCTACCATAAAATTACCGTTAAGGAATTGTATTTTTATAGCTAGAAAAATATTGAATGACTGAAATGTTTAATACGCTATTAAATATTTGAAACTTATTATGATGTTAAAGGTATATGTTTGTTTGTAATTAATAGATAGTCTTTATAATTATTATTAAATTAAAATCAACTTGATTAAAAACCAGTTAAAAAAAAAAATCGATGTACTTTTTCTTTAAATATGTATTTCTAAACAATAATTTATTGCACTTTTAATATTTCGTGTACCTATATAAAAATACACTGATACATATTAAGTGTAGGTTTAGATAATGATAAGAAAATATTAGAATTGTACTATTATCATGTATTTACATAAGTATTGTTATTGTTATTTTAATACCTATTTATTAATCTTTAATGGTTTATATCTTGCTAAAAAAAAAAAAAAAAAAAAAAACTTTCTTTGAAAAAGAAATGCTGTTAAAATCGCTCCAGCTTGGATTTTATCGGTTTTTGAAGATAAAACATTTCTCAATTAATTTTAGGACATTAATCGTCTGTATAGGAGTGGCGATTTTCAAATGCAATCGCCTGAATTTCCTTTTAGATGTCGATCGTAAAACCTTGGCGTGCAGATTTTCAATATCTCGAATCAACGGCGAGTCTGGTCCCGTGGGCGTAATTTGTGTCCTTACCATTGTCTCCGTTCGTACCTACGTTACATATATCCGTTGAAAAAACGTAACAATTGCAGCGACCATCATTATCGTACATAATATCCGGGGAACAATAAATACACTTAATCGTTCATTCTGTGTATTTGCACTTCGTTAAGTTCACCAGATCGTATAGAATATATATTTTTCAACAGCCTTGATCCGCATTTTAGCATAACTCTAAGGTCAAGTTAGCGAAATTAGATCCCGTGGATGTTTCTAAAAGGAAATAACTGGTACTAAACGACGATGATAACTGCAGATATAGTTATTAATTACATGTTGGTCAGTTTAAATTTCATTTTATTATTATTATCATAACGTTTTTTTCACTTTCATCGAAAAGACTCGAAAATTAATAAGAAAAAAGAAACACTAATCCATATATGCACACTATCGTGACCATCCGCGAATCGCAACATTTATTATTATGATAGTACATGCCTCAATGTAACACTTAGTCGTTTTGAATCACGAGTAACTGACAACGAAATTATAGTCGTGGTCAAGATGGTAAAATATTAAAGAGTGCAATGTTTACGTCTGTTTATTGTTGTCGAGATGAGTAACAACTACGATTATGACTTAATTGATTGATCCGTCCGTGGGTTTGAATATGATTTAGTTTGACAATGACGGTCTGTAGGCGAATATGGAAAGTGAGAACGAAAGAGAAAAAAGTCATGTATGAGAGAAAGATTAAAGGTACATCGTCTTTCCACAATCACATCGATTGTTTTAAAAATTTTATTTGATGTGCAAATCATTTATAAATTATGCATTATGCGTATTGTTTTGTGCAGTGTGAAATCTCGATAGCTTTTTAAGGGTGGGAGTTTTCTATTTTTCATTAGTCATACATTTCAGTAATTTTAAATATATTATTATTATTATTATTATTATTTATTAAAATTAATTTGGTGCATTATACTTGATATCTGATACATTAAATGTTATATTATTTTATTTTAAAATATTATTAAAGCAATTAATACGACAATGTTTTTCTTGTATATGAACTAATTGCCTCTTCAATGAATTTTTGAATTGGATCTCATTTACCTTTAATACTTATTTTCATAGAATATCCTAATGTGTCTTGACCCAAGTTTGGTAAATATAGTAGATATACGTTATTGAAACTCTGATAAAATATGTAAATATGAGTTGACAATGATAATAATAATAATAATGATATATTTAAAAATCTTAAGAGTATTGTACATTTAATAAAATATATATTTTATTTATTATTGTATTTGTCCGTGGCGCGGGAGAAAGGGAGGTTGATGAAATTAAAGACGGATATTTGCTTTCTGGATTCAACATTATTTAAACGTGTACGGGTTTAAGACTACGTATGGTAGTCGTCTCGTGATACAAAAGAATAATTCGTATTTATCGGAGAAGTATAAACGGTAAAAATAAAAAAATTATCTATCTGTCCGTGGGACGACAATCGCGTAACTCATACTCCGTTCATTTCACTCCGCTACACCGTGGGAGCGAAGGACCCGCGGAAGAAAAAATTTCGACAGCGCGAATCGGAATTGTTTCCACGTCCTATCGGTTTAAGCGTCATCTCTGCGTAGGCATTCGTAAACAGCGGTGCTACAAGTTCGATTATAAGCATTGCAGTGGGCGATTATCGTTAAACACTATCATAAGATTTAATTTTTTTCGTCAGTCGTCGTATATTGCATACAATATATTTACTCGTATATTAAATAAATACAGTAAACTTGATCTATCTATGTAGAAGGGGAGGAATGATCAATGATATATTATAATAACCTAGACAATAAGTATGTATTATACCAGTGTTAGATTAAAGCATTATAATATATGCAATGACTATTTTTTTTTTACAAACGAATAACATTGTTTCAAGATTTGTTTCGCGATAAATAATAAAATCAATTTTTCTTAGGATTTGATAATTTTTTCTGACCAAAAAAATTCTTAATTAATCAGGCATTTTTAAATTACATTGTATAGTGGTTTCAACCTAAATATATGAACATAGTTTCTGAAAACTAACTCCATTAGATTTCATTTACTGCAAACTACTAAAGATCTCATTAAAAATTTCCTTAAATGATTTTTAAAAAGTTAACCAATATGCATTTATAGATTTAAAACTGATAGGATAGACTTTTTACTGCCCCAAAAACTTGATATCTTTTGTATTTACTTTGAAGTAAAAATATTAAACAAAAAAAAAAAAAAAAATGAAAATCATAAAAATATGTTTAATTATGCGGTTAATTTGACTAAATGTTTTCATTGAAATAATATTTTATCCTCGTTTATGATAAATTTATTTATTTTTTTTAGATACAAATACTCATGTTCACCATTTATTTTTGTTTAATTTCATAATTGAAAATGTAGTAAAAACGGATTTAATTAGTATTGGAATTTTGTCAAGACAATGGGCTAGAAGTTATACTGATAACGGGATAATATTCCGGTTTTAAAAATTGGGCATATTATATGATTTAACATTATTTATTACAATATATACCAAGTACCAATATAATATATTTGAGTCATACTAATATTATAATACAAAACGGCAAACGCATAGTATATTGACAAAATACCATTGACGTGTTTTGTGATATTTCATTTTTATTCATGTATATTTATTTTTTCTATCCTCAGGAACAAAAAAGATGGAGTACAAGACCAGACAGTGGCATGAGAAATGTTTCAGCTGTGTTGTGTGCAAGTCGGCTATTGGTACCAAGAGCTTTATACCCAGGGATCAGGAAGTTTACTGCGCTACTTGCTACGAGGAAAAGTTCTCGACCCGATGCGTTAAGTGTGACAAGGTACCATGCTATACAATAACAAATTATATTGAAGCAAAAATTTTTTTGCACTACAAAGACACTCGCCCGAAATTCATTTTTTCCAGTCGCTTATAAATATTATATTAATATATGTGTATTATGTATAATGTAAAACTTATTTACTCATATGATCATCAATATATTAGGACCCGACCATAGTTTATTTCGATTCTATATCATAAAATCGTCACACAATATTCCTTAACATTCTATTAATAACATTTTTGAAAATGTATGAATTAAATACACATTTTTTCTTTTCATTATGATTAATTCAGAAAAAAACAGTTGTATGACTTGATGTGGTGTACGTTCAACGTTCTGCGAGTGAAGCGTGGAATCGTACTGGTCTTGCATTATGACTTAATGAATTCTTTTTGCAGTTTTTTAACTTTTCATTTTACTGTTTTTTTTTCTTTTTATTACCATCCTAGCAGGTAGAAAATCACTGAATTGTATCGATGAAACATAATTGGCTATATTTGACTATTTAGGTAGCATAGATTTTTGGAGGAACAAAAGATACTGTATTTTTTTACCATTAAATATTAATGATTGAGAACAAAAATAAAAGAAACGTTACCAAATTAATATTTACTTGATTGAAATTAATTGTATTTTATTAAAAAAAAATTTAAAAAATTATATATATAATATATAATTATGTGTAAATATCTTTATATTTTAACTAGTATATAAAAACATTAAAAGCCACTATAAAATTTATTTATATTGAAAAAACCAAACACGCAAATGAATAAGTGCATTTTAATTTTCTCCTGTCATTGATTTAGTAGTTTTTCCTGAAGTATATACTTGTTTAGTAATTATTACTGAATTAATTTCTAATATTTCTATCGAGGAGATACATACTTATGGTTTATAATATTAAAATACTTAAGTTGGTAGATGAACGTAGAATTTAAAAATTGAATTAAAATTTATTTTAAAACCCTTTAAACTAGTGTATGTATAGTCTTCACAATATTAATTTATAATATACATTTACCTACATAATATTATTATATACCTACTATGTTTGTGTGCTGTAGATTATCACTAGTGGTGGTGTGACATATAAAAACGAACCTTGGCACAGGGAATGCTTCACGTGTAGCCATTGCAGCACGTCGTTGGCTGGACAGCGTTTCACGTCCAGAGACGAAAAACCGTATTGTGGAGATTGTTTCGGAGAGTTATTCGCCAAAAGATGCACTTCATGTGTAAAACCAATTACAGGTACGTAAACATTAAAACTCGTGTCGCGAATTTCGGGATGGTCGTAAACAATATAGAAGAAAATTGTATAAACATTGTATAAATATTTCTGACTCAGGATTCCTTTTTTTTCGCACAAGAAAATATAGTTAAAATAAAATCAATGATTAATTAATAACTCATGATGTTCCTCTATACCTCAAATGAGTAGAAATAACACCAAATAGTGCAGGTACCTATACTCAAAGGTAGATAAGACAATAACTATTAACACTTCTATATACTATTAAGTGGACGATAATAAATTTTCTTTAGCTATACAAAGATTTAAAACCAAGATAAAAGGTCCACAATGTTTGTAAAAATATAAAGAAATTATATAAAAATAAAAATAAAAATAAAATAAAACTATAATATTATCAGTTAATAATAAATTACACGAAGGTAATTTTAAACTTAGGTATTTATGGTTGTTGGAAAGGAGGGACTAAGCTAGTTATTAAAAAAATGTAGGGCTCAAGCTCCCGTTGACGTAATTCACCATTTGTGTCTATAATGAACACTGATTATAGTAATATAATATTATGTTAAACCCTTTTAATAAACCGCAATCTGCAATACTTTGCGAAATTCACGATATAATATTATATTATAACATAATATTATTAAAATGTGTCTCATGCACGTATTGCCCCACAGGAATCGGTGGCACTAGATTCATCTCGTTCGAGGATCGTCACTGGCACAACGATTGTTTTATCTGCGCCTCCTGCAAGACCTCACTGGTTGGTAGAGGCTTTATCACCGACGCCGAAGACATAATTTGTCCGGAATGCGCCAAGCAGAAGCTCATGTAAACTCGTCGCACCTAATCAACATGACCACCATCACCATCAACCCTGCACTACATCGTATGACTATACGTTATGTTTATCAACGCCATTTTAACGTTACTATATTATAATATGATAATGCAATACATACACGGAAAAAAAAAATTGTAAAAAAATAATCTATCGTCTTTACGGCTTACGCGAGGCACTTTTTAACCCATCAACACACCTCTCGATGACGACGCAATGACGGAAATATTTGTTTGTCTGTTTAATATTTTTATATCCGGCACCGGATCCGCGTTATTTATTTATTTATTTATTTATTCATACGTTTTTAATGTATTGACACGTGTGCCTTAACGTTTCTAAAGTATATCGTATCAGTATATAGAAATCTATTAGATATTGATAAATATTTATATATATATATATATATATATTAATGTAAACCCACATAATATTCATAGATAGATTTATATTTATTTATATGTAAACTAACAAAACAATTTTTATGCGTAAATTACGTACATACTTAAAATTGTTTAAAAAAAAAAAAAATAATAATAATAATAAAATTTATGTAGTCACTAACCCCCCCCCAGCGTTTGAATATTATAACTATAACTATATATTCATATAAATTATGTTTATTTAAATGTAATTTTGATTAAGTTATCCAGCATTTAAGTTACATAACCACTCTTGTTAATTTATTACTCAAAAGTATTATTATGATTTTTTTTGTGATTAACTAGTCAGGTCTTGTTAAAATGTTAATATAAATATTATATTATTATATAGATTTATATATTATATTATAACAACCTTATATTTTTTTCCTTTAGGTACATAGTATAAATTATGGCCTTATCAATACCGTCCCTATCCCTGAAGTCCTTCAATAGTTACAATATTACCTATTTTATCTTAGAAGTTAGAATAACATACAAGGCACTTAAAATGAATTATCGCTAAATGTTATTACGTTTTTATTTTCAATATAAAAATCAAGCACAGTGCTGTGAAATGTCTTACCTTATACATTTTAATTATTGATAAAATAAGGTGGACTAGTAAATTTATACCATACACGTATACATAGAAATATATATATATATATAGTATTATATTAAACAATGTATAATCAACTTAATTAACTTAAACTCAGCTAACCGAATTCTCGAAATCTGTTTCGACTCACACTCTTAATACATAATATTTACAACCTATTTTAATACTATACAATAATTATTATTTGTACACGATATTATTTCTGTTAAATATATCGTTTTGTAATCTATTTATTTTAGTAGTTAAAATTATATTGGTGTTATATTTCGAATATTTTTACCTTAGTAATTTTTATAATAATGCAAAAACTATAACTATAGAAGTTATTACAGTTGAATCATTTGGTGCTATGATAATAATAATAGTAATAATAATAATAACAGTAATTATAATACTGCTATATCGCACACTAATCACGTTGTTTTTTAAAACAATTTAGTGTAGACTTAAGTTGTATTTTTTTTTTTTTTTTTGAAAATGTATACATTTGGAAATTTTTAAAATCACATTTTATGAAAATATATTACCTATGTTATCTATTGTTGACTCACACAAATCTATTATTTTTTTTCTCATGTTACATTTCCAAGTAATCCTTTCATTTATAATGATTATACTTTTTTTTTGAATCAATATTATGTATACTTTATTTATTTTAACATGGGCACACGAAATATTTTACAATAATACATTAAATGTTCACAATTTTTTGTTTAAAATAAAATGCTCTAGTTTTCTGGTTGAAACAAAGATTTTTTTTGATTTAAAAACCACTCTAAACATAAATAATGTTATATTATTATGTATTAAATACATTTTTTGAATACATTTATTGTTTAATAATATTTATATTACAGTATAGCGTTAATTATTTAAATCAAAATAATTTTCAAATTATTATTACATTTTATATAACTGTATTATTATAAATTATTTTATGTTTGAATGTTAGATTAACTTTCGAATTAGTTATTGTATTTAATTTATACTATCAAATCATATTACTACGTATAGTAATAATTAATAAATAAATAACAATAACATCTTTAACTCATTTTTCCAGTTGTATTGGTGCTAATGTGTATATAGTAATATTTTATTAAATATTGATATATGTTTTGATAAATTTAATTTTACTTAAAATAATAACAACTGTGGAAAGGAATTTAAAATAACTCACGAGTGACTAATATATAATCACTATAGTTGTGTGTGTTCTAGTTTTATGATAAAAAAACATTTTTTTTTTAAATATTTTAATAAATTTTCATTTTCAACACGCTTTTCTTAAACATGAACATTTTTATAAATAATATTAATGTTAAAATTGTATGTGTGTATAATATTATTGAGGGGTTGAAAAGGTTATTGAAAAACCCCAAATTATCATTTACTATACATTTTAAAATATAAGTATTTATTGTGATGAACAAATCTTACAAATCATATAATATTATGTCACCACTCACTATGACACCATTATACTATAAATATGGTGTATGAAGGACATTAAAATGTTTTGTTGATAAAGTTTAACTGTCTCTAAAACTTTTAAGTACATTTTTAACATACTTTATACGAGTAAACGTGAATTATTTTGTGAATGCAACACGTAATAGCGCATAATTTTAAATATTAATTTGTTAATGTTTTGCAGATTACTAAATTTAACATAATGTATGAATGAACAGAATACTTTATTATTAAATACAAATCACGTATATTTTTTCTAATGAAAATACCACTTACTTTAACAATTGACAAATATACTTAAAGAAAATTATCTCGATATATTAGTATAGGGTTCATGAATAAAAAATTACAAACTTGTAGTGTAATCATTAATAATAAATAAATAATCAGCGAAGAATCGTCATAAAAGACAATGAAACATCATCAACCAATTTGGAATATGGAAAATTAATTAGGATTTATTTTATTTAAATAAAACATTTTTTTTAATAAATTTAAATTTCATAGTATTATATTTATGTCAACATATTTTGTTATTGTTGTTGTTATAGTATATGGTTAGTATAGATTATAATTAGAGCTAGCACAGTAGAGCTAGTGGTGCCTATCTAAATACCGTGTAAAAATAAATATGTAACGATATAGAATTTGTCACATTCTGTTAGGCGTAAAAACGGTTTTGAATTATTTTGAGACATTTCTTGCTGTTCATGTTTTTGTTTTATTTTATTTTTAAGTAATCGTTTTTCTCGTAGTTACTTCATCAACCACTGCAAATTCATTATTGTAATCGATTTTATCTATTTGCAGTTTACTTAATTTTACTGCGATATTGTTTAAATACGAATATAAATAATTATGCCTGGTTTATTCGTTGTTTTTTTTTCAGCGTCATAAGTATTCATAACCTCAAGACTCACGTCTTGTCACACCAATAATGATTATCAAGTATCAACTATACTTAAAACATTCGAATTCATTGTCTTCGCCTTAAAATTACACAACATACCACATTTACACTCAGATGTTCGTGTTTAGATTCGTTAGTTTTAACATAACAATAAATTAGTCTATTATCTGTATTTTTACGTAAATATTTTACGATATTTTAATTTTCGACCAATTAATGAGTTTTTTTAAATTTCATTACAAACTCATACCTCGTTTGAACATTAAAATATCATTAAAAAAACAAAGAATATTTACTGACAATGTTTGTACTATTAATAGCTTAATAACAGATCACTTTTCAGTTTTCTTTGATATTAAAATCTAGGAAGTTACATTTGAGCTTATGAGTCTTAATATGTAATTTAAAATGCACTTCTAAAATAAAGACAAAAACATTTTAGTTTAATGATTTTTTAAGTATTTTACTTGAATTTGAGTATTCAAATAAATAGTCTTTTCACTAATAATAAAGTTTAGGTTCGGTTAAAAAAACGAATTCGATTTAACCATAAATTGACTTTTTAATATATTTTTTATGCAAATCCATTCAATTTTACTAAAAAATCAATAATTGTGCTTTTTGACTTGTTGATTTCAATTGAGTTTATGCAATTTGAAACATTTAAAATCAATTTCAAAATAAATTATCAATTTTTTCTTACAAATGAAACATTACTGGTAATACTGTGAATTATTGTAATAGTAGTCAATTAATTTCAATAATTGTTTCTATAGCTATAATAATACATAGTATATTATAACTTTCTATGGAGGTCTCTTAATATTAATATTTAATTGTCAAGGTCTTAATTTGACGCCGAAGGTTGAAAGCAACAGTGAATTATCTAATAAACACTTTTTTTCAACATGGATAATTTTATTATTGATACTAAAAATAACTTAAATACTTACTATAATTTAAAATTAATATCAACTTATTTTTGGTAAATATCTATAATTAAAATCTATCCAATATAAAGTTAATTTTACTTATATCGTTTGGTTCACGAGAAATATATGATCTATTCTTCAATTTTGTCAACTATATTAAATAGGTAGTAATACATTTCAATCCTTAAAATATATCAGGTATTGCAGTAAGTATGGGTGGGTGTCTTGATTTTGTCATAATTTGGATTTAAAATTAATGTTAGATAAATAAAAAATTAATAACAGTAATTTATATTCGATTATAATTACTAAAGTAAATAATTTTTTTAATTCATGTGTATAGTTATTATATCCTAAGCTTTTAATGGCGCTTATTGGTGCAACACTAGGCAATTACGGTCTACCACTTAGTTATAACTTATAAGGTATAATGAGTAATTAAAAATTAAACTAAATTATATTTAATAAAATATTATTATTATAGATTATTCTTTACTAATAAGTAATAAATAATAACTAAACGTAGTTATAAAAATTAAAACGTAATGTTAAGAAATATTTAATTTTAATTACCACAGTATGTTTGTCAATTAATATATTTTTTTATGAATAGTAATGAATAAATATTTATTTATAGATATTATTATTTTTTATTTTAATTAATCCATAATATACATATATATAATATGCATGATAAATTGTTTTTCGTGTAAATTTAAAGAATTTTAGAATAAAAAACAGAAGTCTAGGCACTAGGAAGATACTACTATAACACGATAATACACGCATTTTAATAGTTACAACATTTAAAATCTAAATTTTGATTTGTAAAAAACTAGTTATTCCGAGTGAAAAAATATAGTCACGAAAATACGGGTTCGTATTTTATCGCATCTTATGTTACGTATACACTGCCAACTCCATGGTTTATTGATGTTCATGTGATAATTTTTTTTAATGTCTTTTGATGCATCGAGTTTTTGTCATATTCAAGTAAATTTATAATGATAATGTATTCTTTGAATTAATATTGAGAATCCTGTTTATTCGTATCTATATTAA